TGGATGACCACGCAGGCCACGAACTGAGCCCCCTTGAAGCTCTCAACGTGCGCATGGACGCCAAAGCCAAAGAGTACTGGACAGCCATTGTCAATGCGAACCCATTTGGGTCTCCCTCCCATCACCTCGTCGGCGGAGAAGGTTGGTCAATTTGGCACAATCAGCGGAAACTTGCTTCACCACACCGACAAGTGTTGTTAGACCTAATCTGCCTCCCTGACATTGAAGAATATTGGACTTCCGACCACTATCTTGCCCCTGCAAGACTGTCCCCTGAAGCATTCCAGTTAGTCGACTGGGAAGTATGCGGAAAGCTGATGAAAACTCTTCCATTGGGCATGCGCAGGTGGTGTACCAAACACGCCTCTGAGAACTGTGGAGTAGGCATTACCCTCAAACACTGGTACAAACAGGACGATGATCATTGCCCACGCTGCGGAGCACCAGAAGACACTACTCATGTCCTACAATGTCATGCTGAGGGATCTGATGAAGTATGGAGCGCTCACTTGCTAGAGCTGGCCTCTGCTTTTGGGGAGCTTCACACCCCCCTTGACCTTCACATAGGACTGGTTGACCGCCTGAACAGTTGGCGCAACTCCCTCCCATTGCTCCCCAACCCCCAGTGGGATGCCACCCTTACCCAACTTATCGTCTCCCAAGACCAGATTGGATGGAAGAACTTCTTGGAAGGTCTACCCTCCATTCGTTTTGCCCAGTATATGGATTCCTTCTACAAACGAGAGGGATACTCCATCACTGGTACCACTTGGACTTCCAAAATCCTTCGCAAAACTCACATGATGGCCTGGAGTTTATGGGAACATCGGAACAAGATTCTACACGATGACCAAAAGCCCCGTCAGAAACTAGCCCTCAACCTGTTACACCAAGCAATTGCCACCGAGTATATCAAAGGTACCAGGGGACTCCCCTCCTGTTATCACAACTACTTCAAACACTCACTCATTTCCCTTCTCACAAAACCCAAGCCCTACAAACAGTCCTGGCTCCAAGGGATCCACACTATCCGCGATAGAGAAACTAGACGCGCCCACCAAATCACTGAAGACAGACGGCATTCAAGATTATATCAATGGTGTGCCACGGGACGACTCTAGCCTCTCCATCTCCCATCCCTCGAACCACCTCCTCAGAACCAAACGACACCATTAGAACATGGCCTTAGCGCGCCACACTCCCAGGATGGCCTTAGCGTGCACTCCTCCAGAAACCAACATTGAATGGAACACCTTTAGGGGCCTTAGCGAGCCTGTGACCCTTCTACTCGAACAAGGGGCCAGTAGTGCCCCCTGTCATTCTGAGTGAAGTAAAAGCAAGCCCTCGGCGCAGTAGACAAAAATAACAACTACTAATCATTGTGACAAACAAATGGATCATAGTCATAGAAGATTCCGCATCCCTGGACTATGGTCTTGGAAGCAAGTGCCATCTTAGACCCAAGCAAATTCAGGCTGTTGCAATTCAGTGGCTGCCTTGCTCCCAGAGATTTCAAAGGATTGATCAATGACAACATATTTCCCACTAGATTTGTTCCGGAACAACCTCAGTATGGCCTTGTTGCCGCAATCCCCATCTATAAACTCCCTGTCACTCACACGGGAATGGAATGAACAGGAATCTCAGAGCCAAATTTGTTGGAGCAAGAATCGACCATGTTCATACTTTTTGTCAATGCAGGCGCCTTCAAGTCGTGGCATTCCTCCTCGCCAAACTCCCTGTCGCTCACACGGGAATGGAACGAACAGGAAACCCGGAGTCAAACGGAGGATTGTCGGAGCAGCAATCGACTATGTTCACACTTTTTGTCAATGCAGGCACCTTCAAGTCACGACATTCCTCGTTGCCAGACCTTGGTTGCTTCTTGCACTCTGGTTCTGTGTGGAGAGACTGGGTTGTGTTTGGCCGGGGAAGGGGCGGTGCTGGCTGGTGGGACAGTGGTGGCTGCTGGGGTAGTGGCGGCAGTGGTAGAGGTGAAGAATCTCCTTGTTGGCTGTGCTGTTGTGGTTTTGCTACTCCATTTTGTCGTCTTGCCTGTGGCTGCTGTGCATTTGGCGTCGCGTGCTGATGTGCCAGACTCTCAAAACCGGGACCATACAGATTGTTGAATGGACCCACACCACTGGACACATGTTCAGCCTCTCTTATCACAAGTTGCATGAAAGGCTTGCAACGTTGGTGCCTCTTGATAACATCAGCGTGGTCATTTTTTGTGGTAGGGTCCACTCCACACAGCACACGAAGGTGGGCCTCCAGCCCAGGCACACCATTCACTCGTTCCATTGGGATGCATACTGTCAAAAACCTTCCGCCTTTATCCAGTGCCCCGTCTTTGACCAGGACAAGTTTCCTCATCAACTGTTCTCTGCTTGGAGTGTGGTTGTTTGTTAGCATAGAACCGGAGAACATTTCCAGACAATCCCCTTTCTCGTGTAGCCCATATCTGTTGACAACTGCCTCCGCACGTCTTGTTTGATACTCGTCAACATCAATGGTGCTGGCTGATACATTCAAATGGGGGGAATGGTCTACCTCAACCATGTCCTCGGTGAACTCCTGAAAAAGTGGATGCTTCCAATCCGGCATCGGTACCTGCTCCAAATAAACCTTGTCCTGGCTTGCCGGCTCCCTTTCTTTAAAGATTGCTTTAAAAGGGGACGTCTCAACATGGGACGGAAATGCATCATCTCTACGTTCCCGTCTTCAAGGCTCATCCGTTTCAGGATTGGTTGCGTGGGAAAGTAATGGTCCCTAGGTGCCCTATCCCTGCTACTCGCACAATCCATGTTTTCCACCACGGACTGGTCGAAAGATGATTTCTCGTTGTCATTGCTTCTGGCCCTAATGAACTTGACTGTCGAATTCAAGATGCGATCATTCTTTGCCCTTGTATCCTTAGTCTCAGTATCGCCCATCCCCTTCATCTGCAGGTAGGCTTCCATCTCTTTGCTGTTCTTTCTTGGGTTGGAAATGGCGTGGCCAAGATGATGTGGTGGCAGAAGACCGAAAAAGGAGAGAATGTGAATCGGAGCCACACAGGTGAGTGGCCCCACCCCCACAACTGTTTTGGAAATTAATTCTGCAGGGGCGGAGCTCTCGCGGCGTCTCGTGGAAGAGGTCAGGCCCTGATCAATGGAGATACTTGTTGTCGAGCTTTGTTGGCAGGCCCGTTCCAGGATCATGCTATTATTGACATAGTCACCAACTGGCCTGTTGCCACTCACATGAGGCTGGTGTCTCTTTTCACGTGTTCCAACACACATCGAACCAAAAATCTTTCTATGATGACGGATCACTACCTCGCCAAGCCCACCTGGTGCCAGCTCGACAGCAGCCATGCCACCCCTCTGTAGTAGAGACTGCATGGTAAAAAGGGTGGTAGCAGTTGCATACGAACTGTTTGTCTATCCAAGATAAGCGGCCACCTGGATAATAGATTCCCTTTTCTCAATTGGTGTTGTCCGCAGCAACTCCACCATGGCGTGGTACACTGGTGCGAGATAGGAAGTTGTTTTGTCAGCTGCCTCCTTGAATTCGTGCGCAATGGAAACCAAATGCCCAGTGAGAAGATCTAAGGTCACTCTATAGGCAATTGGGGTGCTGAATAACCTTTCTTGGGCCGTGGCAGTAGCTCATCTGTGCAAGGCCACGCTCCGGTGCCAGGCGTCAATTCTGAGGCACTTCTCTTTTGCAGCCAGAAACCTAACGATTGCGCTATCAGCACTCAACCTCCCGTAGTACATTTTTGAAGCCCCCATGACTTGACCAAGGATGACAACGGCTCCAACCCGGAGGACATCGGGGGCAATGGCAGAGTTTACATCATCGATGTGGCTGGCCAGCAACCTGATATTTTCTTCGTCCCCTCTTCTGTTGCACACAAATGGTAGAAGATGTTGGCAGAAGCGAGGAATCGGACTTCAATGCCAAAGAAATGCTCACAAATCTTGACATATGCAACTCTTGACTCCCTCTCCTCCTCCAGGCCTGTAAGGCACCAGTCGTCTTGACAACAGGGGATACCGGCCTCCTTTCCAATTGCTGTGGCCACCCGCAAGTCTTGACAGAGGGAGCTATGATCCGTTCCAGCGAGTAAAGAAGGAAGGTTGACACCGTAGAATTTCAGTATCTCTCTTCTGTCTGTGGGCACTTTGTGGCACATCCCTGATGCTAGATCCATGGGCCACTGTAAGGTGTTCCTCTTTTGATCTTTGGTAGCCTTTGCATAGCTTGCCTCCAAACCATGAAGGAAGGATAGTTGGTTTACAATCCCATTTAAGGGAGATTGAATAAACTGCATGGTCCCTGACCTGATAACATTGAGTGCCTTTTGTCTCGCTTGGTAGGATGCTCTATCCCAGGAGCACTCAGAACTGTGATAGAACATAGAGTCAGTGCTAGGTTTCAAAGACCCACATAGTCTGGTAGTGGGGACTCTGTATAGAAGGTTGTAAGATGTCATGGTCATTGGTTCTTCACAATCTCTGGATGCTTTGATCTTACCTTTGAAAGATCAGAGGCGGAATAGATGGGTACAGTTCCACCATCCTGTATAGGTAGAGGATTACCATTCCACAACTCAATGATATGGTCCCTCTTGGTTGCACCAGACCTCCACGAAGTTGGCAATGACAAACGAAGCTCCTTTTTCTCCTCAATAACAAGGTATATGGGAGCGTTTGGTGAGAGTTTCATGATGGTAATCAGCTACTTGAAAGTGGATACTATATGGTATGGTGCCTTTATGGAAATTGAATTCAGGAATTGTGATCAAAATCCAAGCGCCACGAAATCCAAGCGCCACGAAATCCAAGCACCACGAAATCCAAGCGCCTCAATGTTGAATCACCTTAACGTTTAATAGCCTCAAAATCCACACCTCAAAGTTCAATCTACTCAAAATCCAACTTTTGAAGGGCGAGACTCGGTACACAGCTCAAGATCCATTTTCGCCAGGTACCCCTCCAGCCAATCAGACCAAAGTCTGCAGCCAATCAGACCAACGTCCAGTCATCATAAAATTCTCACACCCGCCTCGTAATCCAAAATCCAAGTAAAATCGCCTCGAAATCCACACCTCAAAGTTCAACCGCCTCCAAATCCACACCTCGAAGGTCCTGATTGGGTACACAGGTCCAGATTCGGTACACAGCTCAAAGGGCCACACCTCAAAGCTCAACCGCCTCCAAATCCACACCTTGAAGGTCCAGATTGGGTACACAGCTCAAAGGTCCAGATTTGGTACACAGCTCAAAGGGCCAGACTTGGTACACAGCTCGAAATCTGGTGGTTCAAGGACCAGATTCGGTATAAAGCTCAAAATCCTGAGGTTCAAAGGCCAGATTCGGTACACAGCTCAAAATCCATTTTCACCAAGTGCCTCAACATCCAGTCAGACCAACGTCCAGCTAGCAAAACATCCGCCTCGGCTGAACAGCCAATCAGCTCAGGAACAGGTCCAAGCGCCTCGGCTGAACAGCCAATCAGCCCAGGAACAGGTCCATATGCCTCGGCCGAAAAGCCAGTTTTCCTGAGGTCCAAAAACTCAAAATCCGCCTCGGCTGAACAGCCAATCAGCCCAGGAACAGGTCCATCTGCCTCGGCCGAAAAGCCAGTTTTCCTGAGGTCCAAAAACTCAAAATCCGCCTCGGCTGAACAGCCAATCAGCTCAGGAACAGGTCCAAGCGCCTCGGCCGAAAAGCCAGATTTCCTGAGGTTCAACACCTCGAAATCCGCCTCGGCTGAACAGCCAATCAGCTCAGGGACAGGTCCAAGCGCCTAGGCCGAAAAGCCAGTTTTCCTGAGGTTCAACACCTCGAAATCCATTTTCGCTCAAAGGGCTGGATCTGGTACACAGCTCAATATCCTGAGGTTCAACACCTCAAGACCCCCCTCTGCTGAACACCTTAGTTTCCCTGAGGTTCAACACCTGAAAATTTGCCTCGGCTCAGGAGCCAATCAGCCCAAGTCCATCCGCAACAGTGGCCAGCCAAGGAACCAAGGAGCTGTACAACCAAGGAAACAAGCAGCCAAGCAGCCAAGCAGCCAAACAGCCAAACAGCCAAACAGCCAAGCAACCACTCAGCCAGGGAGCCAAACAGGTCAACGTCTAACCCAACCAGTAATACTAGTAGCTAGTGAATGCAACAGCGTAACATCCATTCCTGTATGTGGTTGAACATCCAGTCTTTTTATGTATGCGGTTGAACATCCACTCACCCCTAGTACCCGATTCGGTATACAGCTCAAAAAGCCAGTGCCGGATTCAGCATACAGCTCAAACACTGCACAGCAGTGTGTCCAACGCCTGAACATCCACTCACCCGTAGTACCGGATTTGGCATACAGCTCAAAGTCCGCATACTGCTCCAAAACCGTGTTACCAACGCCTGAACTGTTGGGGATTCGCGATTAGGGATTCAACCTGTACCTCTGTACTAGAATTTCACACCAGTAGAAAAACAGAGCCCACCCACTTTTTCAGTAGTATCTCAATAGCATGACAATGGTAAACTAGAGAGCTTAGTGAATCTAACATACTACTGAAAAAGCTGACTGCCTATCCACAACAGACAGAGGATAGAGCAGTAGTCGGTGTATCGACAGCGAAGAAGAAGACCGCGACGGCAAGTACGGATCGGCCGACGACGACGACGCGACGCAAGGATCGCGACGCGAGAGGAAGACCGATACAAGACCGACGACGACGACGAGAGGATCATCATGCCGAAGAAGAGGAGACTGTCATTCGACAGCAACAAGAGAAGCCTGTCAAGGAACGACAGCAACCAAGGATCCGAGGACGGATCCGAAATCCAAGCCAAAGAAGAGTTTTGACGGCAACGACGCGCCGCGAGAATCGGTCGACGCGAGTGGAAGAGTTTCGTCGGTGGAATCCACAAGGATTGCCAACAGGTTGCTTGGCAAGGAGAAAGCCAACAACAGCGTGAAAGCCATAGTGCCAGCGCAGGGGCCAAAGGACGGGCACCCAACCGAGGAGTCACTCAACAAAGAAACGGGTTTGGAAAGGCCGCGACCACACAGTGTGTGAAGCAATCGGGCCCACCCTTACAAGATCTTTAGTTATAGACTTAACACTCCCTAGCCAGGAGAATAATTTGAAGTTTATCGCCCCATAGCCGAGCAACGAATAAGTAGTTAATCGAGAACTTAAAATAAAAGAGCTAGTCAATAAAAAAGAACAATGGAAATAGTCCACCTACCGTAGCATAGACATGAGCGGTAGAGGTAGAGGAAGGAGTGGCCGAGGCGGCAGAGGACGAGGAGGGCGTGGAAGATCCAGCCCATTGTCTTCGAACCGACAAACAGGTTCATGCAAAGCCCTCAAACACCATGTGTTCAATTTCGATACAACTGGATCAGCAATGGCAGACCAGATGATACGAACATGGGAGAAGATCACCATCTACGTTGGGCAACAGATGGGCGAAGACATCGGCAATGAGCTCCGGAACTGACACCAACCGTGTTGAAAGCACCGGCATACTCAGCGGAGACCCAGTCAAGGCTCCGATCAGCAGCCGAACGACGCAAAGAGAAAAACACATGGTTACTAACGGCAAACAGGGCCAGCCTAGAGGTGCTGGACCAACAGATAACCGCAGTCAGTCAGGACTCGAATGAAATAGATTGGTGGCGAGCGTTAACGATAGAAAAAGCAAACATCGTAAATGCCATAGACGACCTAGAAGACGCCATACAAGATCCACCCGAAGAGGAACTCGGGGACCAGAGAAAACAGAGTTTGGAGGACTCATGAAGACCTACCATAATAGGTTGGCAAAACTCCAAGAGAATAGGGGCAAAGCATTCAACTTGATCCTCGGGCAATGCACCCGATTGTTGAAGGACAAGATGATACAGAACGCTGATTACGAGACCGTTCTGCTGAAATGCGACCCACTGGAGCTACGAAAAATGATCCAAAAGACGATCATGGCCCAGACAGACGATAACTACGTGTACCACACCATCTACCAACAGGAAAAGGCACTGTTGAATTTCCACCAAGGGAACCTTACCGTTTCCGAATACCACGAGCAATGTACCACCAAGAAGGACATTGCACTATCCGTGGGCATTTCCAAGGTACACCACACAGCGATGCGACATACAGCTAAACTGCTGCACAAAAAAAGTTACGACGACCTCACACCCGAGGAACAGACTAAAGTCATGGAGTACGCTGAAGAACGATCCTATAGCTACATATTCTTAACAAATAGTTCAGCTGAGAACACCAAACTCAAACAGAACCTGAGGGACGACTATGCCAAAGGCACTGACAACTATCTCCACACTATCCATGGCGTATTACACCTCTTGGACAAACACACCAAGAGTA